CCTGTGTCGCACTACCCGTTACAGGGACACCACCTTGGCTCTCCTAGTGGACTATAAGTGGGTGGGGCCCTCTCGTTACCCTTTAGTGGCAAATCCACCCTCTCTGCCACCCCCCGTATTGAAGGACTGCCGTCTGTTTGTCTCAATAAAGCTTTGTGCGTCTGCCATCCACTCTGTGTGTTCTGTCCTGCCTTTCCTCCGTCACACCGCTGATTGTCTAGGACACTGACAGAATACAGCTCTGCCTATGTAAACAAGGCAGAGCTATGTCCTGTCAGCAGCAATGTGATGGATTCTCTTTCCCCTTAAGCAGGGAAGAGAAATCAGCACATTACCTAGCGAAAACAGCACGCACAGTACACAGTAAACATTACACATACAGTGGATAGAAAAAGTCTACACACCCCAGTTAAAATGTCAGGTTTCTGTAACGTAAAAAAATTCGACAAAGATAAATCATTTCAGAACTTTTTCCACTTTTAATGTGACCTATAAACTGTACAACTCAGCTGAGCAACAAACTGAAATCTTTTAGGTGGAGGGAAGTAAAAATAGAAAACTAAAATATTATGGTTGCATAAGTGTGCACACCCTTACACTAATCCTTTGTTGAAGCCCCTTTTGATGTGATTCCAGCACTCAGTCTTTTTGGGTATGAGTCTATCAGCATGGCACATCCGGACTTGGCAATATTTGCCCGCTCTTCCTTGCATAAACACTCCAAATCTGTCAGATTGCGAGGGCATCTTCTGTGCACAGCCCTCTTCAGATCACCCCACAGATTTTACATCGGATTCAGGTCTGGGCTCTGGCTGGGCCATTCCAAAACTTTCATCTTCTGGTGAAGCCATTCCTTTGTTGATTTGGATGTATGCTTTGGGTGGTTGTCATGCTGAAAGATCAAGTTTCTCTTCATGTTCAGCTTTCTAGCAGAAGCCAGAAAGTTTTGTGCCAATATTGATTGGTATTTGGAACTGTTCATAATTCCCTCTACCTTGACTAAGGCCCCAGTTCCAGCTGAAGAAAAAAACAGCCCCAAAGCACGATGCTGCCACCACCATGCTTCACGGTGGGTATGGCATTCTTTTGGTGATGTGTAGTGTTGTTTTTGCGCCAAACATATCTTTTGGAATTATGGCCAAAAAGTTCAACCTTGGTTTCATCAGACCAGGACACATTTTCCCACATGCTTTTGGGAGACTTCAGATGTGTTTTTGCAAAGTTTAGCCGGGCTTGCATGTTTTTCTTCATAAGAAAAGGCTTCCGTCTTGCTGCTCTACCCCATAGCCCAGACATATGAAGAATACAGCAGATTGCTGTCACATGGACCACACAGCCAGTACTTGCCAGATATTCCTGCAGCTCCTTTCATGTTGCTGTAGGCCTCTTGGAAGCCTCCCAGACCAGTTTTCTTCTCGTCTTTTCATCCATTTTGGAGGGACGTCAAGTTCTTGGTGATGTCACTGTTGCGCCATATTTTCTACACTTGATGACGGTCTTCACTGTGTTCCATGGTATATCTAATGCCTTGGAAATTCTTTTGTACCCTTCTCCTGACTGATACCCTTTAACAATGAGATCCCTCTGATGCTTTGGAAGCTCTCTGCGGACCATGGCTTTTGCTGTAGGATGCGACTAAGAAAATGTCAGGAAAGACCTACTAAAACAGCTGAACTGTATTTGGGGTTAATCAGAGGCACTTTAAATGATGGCAAGTGTGTACTGACTCCTATTCAACATGATTTTGAATGTGATTGCTTAATTCTGAACACAGCTACATCCCCAGCTATAAGAGGGTGTGCACACTTATGCAACCGCATTATTTTAGTTTTTTTATGTTTACCCCCCCCCCCCCCAAAAAAAAAAGATTTCAGTTTGTTTTCAACTGAGTTGTACATTTTATATGTCACATTAAAGGTGGAAAAAGTTCTGAAATGATTTATCTGTCTCATTTTTTTTACATCACAGAAACCTGACATTATAACAGGGGTGTGTAGACTTTTTATATCCATTGTAGCTAGGCACACAGTTAACCCCTTGATCCCACTAAATGTTTAACCCCTTCCCAGCCAGTGTCATTAGCACAGTGTTAATGCATATTTTTTAGAACCGATCACTGTAGTGTCACTGCTTCCCACAAACTGCCAATTAGTTTCTGATTGTCCACCACAAAATTGCAGTCTCACTATAAGTCGCTGACTGCCGCCATTACTAGTATAAAAAAATAAAAAAAATAAAAACACACACACCATAGTTTGCAGACACTAACTTTTGTGCAAACCAATCAATATACGGTTATTGGGATTTTATTAACAAAAAATATGTAGCAAAATACATATTGGCCTAAATTTATGAAACATTTCTTTTTTTTAATTGGATATGTTTTATAGCAGAAAGTAAAAAATATTGTTTTATTTTCAAAATTTTTGGTCTTTGTTTATATAGCGCAAAAAAAAAAAAATTTAAAAATTAAAAACAGTGGTGATCAGATACCACCAAAAGAAAGCTATTTGTGGGAAATAATGACAAATTCCATTTATGCACGGTGTTGCAGGACCGCACAATTGTCAGTTAAAATAATGCAGTGCAGTATCGCAAAAAATGGCCTGGTCAGGAAAGGGGGGTAAATCTTTTGGAGGTCGAGAGGTTAACCACTTGAGCTCCTGAGGATTTACCCCCCTTAATGACCAGGCCTCTTTTTGCTACTCGGCGCCGCACTAATTCAACTGATAATTGCGCGGTCATGCAATGCTGCACCCAAACGAAATTTACGTCCTTTTTTTCACACAAATAGAGCTTTCTTTCGGTGGTATTTGATCACCTGTGCGCTTTTTATTTTTCACGCTATAAACAAAAAAACGCCAAAAATTTTGAAGAAAAACAATATTTTTTGTTTTCAGCTATAAAAAAATATATAGTAAACTCAAAGTTGGTTATAAATTTAGGCCAAAATGTATTCTGCTCCATGTTTTTGGTAAAAAAAATCCCAATAAGTGTATATTGATTGCTTTGTGTGGAAGTTATAGCGTCTACAAACTATGGTATAAATACTGCAATTTACGCCATTTTTCTGCTATACAGCGCTGCACTAGTTTAACGGACAATTGCGCGGTCATGCAATATGGTACATAAATGAAAGTTACATCCTTTTTTTCCCCACAAATTGAGCTTTCTTTCGGTGGTATTTGATCGCCTGTGCGGTTTTTATTTTTTGCGCTATAAAAAAAAAAGGCTGACAATTTTGAAGAAAAAAAAACAATATTTTGGACTTTTTGCTATAAAACATGTCCAGTAAAAAAAAATGCAAAAATCAAATTTAGTCATAAATTTCTGCCAAAATGCATTCTGCGACATGTCTTTGCTAAAAAAAAACCCAATATGTGTAAATTAATTGGTTTACGTGAAAGTTATAGCGTTTACAAATGGCAGCAAAGATACTGGGATTTTTAGTTTTTTTTTTATACTAATAATGGCGGCGATCAGCGAATTATGGCGGTGATCAGGGACTTATGGCAGCGACCAGGGACTTATGGCGGGACTGCGGCGGACATTCTGACATTGGGGGGGTACTGACTTGGGGTCACTGACATCCCCAAAAACACTAATACAGTGATCAGTGCAAAAAAAAAAAAAAAACTGACACTGTACTGCCAATGGGGAGGAAGGGGTTAACTTTATTTAGCAGGGAAGGGTTATAGGAGTGAGGGGAGTGTTTTACTAGGGGGCGGGGGTGTGTACTGGGCGGGACAAGGCTGATCGAGAAAGAGAAACTAAGTAAAACCCCACACAGACGATCAAATACCACCAAAAGAAAGTTCAATTTGTGGGAAAAAAAGACATAAATTTCATCTGGGTGCATTGCATTGCGCTGTGTTCCTTTAACTGACAATCGCATGGTCATGCAATGCACCCAGATGAAATTTATGTCTTTTTTTCCCACAAATTGAACTTTCTTTTGGTGGTATCTGATCGTCTGTGTGCGCAAAAAAAAAAAAAAAAAAAAAAAAAAAAAAAGACAATTTTGAGAAAAAACAATATTTTGGACTTTTTGCTATTAAACCTGTCTAGTAAAAATGTTTTAAAAACATCAAATTTTGTCATAAATTTACACCAAAATGTATTCTGCTCCACGTGTTTGCTAAATAAAATCCCAATACATGTAAATTAATTGGTTTACGTGAAAGTTATAGCGTTTACAAATGGCGGTATATATACTGGATTTTTTTTTTTTTTGTAGCAATGGCGGCAATCAGCGACTTCTAGCAGGACTGCGGCGGGCGTTCTGACACAGGGGGGAACTGACTTGGTGTCACTGACATCCCCAGTGATGTCAATACAGTGATCAGTGCTAAAAAAAAAGCACTGACACTGTACTAACGACACTGGGCAGGAAGGAGTTAACATAACAGCCATCAAAGGGTTGTGTGCAGGGAGTGCTTTACATAGGGGGCGTTTGTGTGTGCTTCACTGTAAGCACACTGCTCTGGATGGCTGTGATGGCAGCCATCCAGAGCAGTGTGCCCAAGCTGACAGGGAGGAGGACTGTTAGTAAACAAAGCAGTCCCCCCCCCCCCGTCGGAGATGCTCGTTAATTACTGGACGCCAGCGGGTAATCACCAGCCGGGACCCGGTCGTTGACAGCCGCGCCCGCGAACGGCTGCGCAGGTAGAGCACTGGCGTGCCCCCTACCTGGAGTCACAAAATTATGTATATATGCACACGTGATTTTGCGCACCCCTGCCGCCCTGAAGCAGTATATCTGCTATAGGGCGGTAATGAAGCGGTTAATACAGCTTCACCTGTTAGCACAGTAAATAGCTTGCTTGGGCCAAGCTGGCCCAAATGAACTATTTAAAAAAGAACATTAAATGTCAAGTTTGGATTTAAATAAAACAAATAAAAAAAAGAATTTTGGGCACGACACCAGCCAGAAACAGACATAATGAAGCCGATTCCCGGACCCTCCATCTATAGTGATCTATTCAGTTAATCCTACTCACTGGAAATCCCTCCTTCATACATTTCCCGGTCACCAGGTAGGTAACGTGTACTTGAGCGCTTTGATTCTCCTTCCTCCTGCGGGTGACGTAATCATACAGCATCCTGCAGACACAGAGAGAAGAATCAGTCATCTGCCTACCCAACTCCAGACCAGTCTAGTTCATACAGTGAAGGAAATAAGTATTTGATCCTCTGTTGATTTTGAATGTTTGCCCACTCACAAAGAAATGATCGGTCTAAAAATCGAATGTTCGGTGTATTGTAACACTGAGAGCCAGAATAGCAACACAAAATTCAAAAGAAATGCATGTCTAACAAATGATGACTGATTTGCATGTTCATGAGGGAAATAAGTATTTGATCCCCTTCACAAAACATGACTTAGTACTTGGTGGCAAATCCCTTGTTGGCAATCACAGAGGTCAGATGTTTCCTGTAGTTGGCCCCCAGGTTTGCACACATCTCAGGAGGGATTTTGGCCCACTCCTCTTGGCAGATCCTCTCCACGTCATTCAGGTTTGGTGGCTGATGTTTGGCAACTCGAACTTTCAGCTTCCTCCACAGATTTTCAATCGGATTAATGTCTGGAGACTGGCTAGGCCACTCCAGGAACTTAATGTGCTTCTTTTTGAGCCACTCCTTTGTTGCCTTGGCAGTATGTTTTGGGTCATGGTCATGCTGGAAGACCCATCCACGATCCATTTTCAATGCCCTGGCTGAGGGAAGAAGGTTCTCACCCAAGATTGGATGGTACATTGCCCCGTCCATCGTCCCTTTGATGCGGTGCAGTTGTCCTGTCCCCTTAGCAGAAAAACACCCCAAAATCAGAATGTTTCCACCACGTTTCATAGTTGGGATGGTGTTCTTGGGGTCATAGGCAGCATTCCTCCTCCTCCTCCAAACACGGAGAGTTGAGGCCAAAGAGCTCGATTTTGGTCTCATCTGACCACAACACTTTCCACCAGTCCTCCTCTGCATCATTCACATGTTCAGTGGCAAACTTCAGACGGGCCTGGACATGTGCTTTCTTGAGCAGAGGGACCTTGCGGACACTGCAGGATTTCAATCCTTGTCGGCGTAGTGTGTTACCAATTGTTTTCTTGGTGACTGTGGTCCAAGCTGCCTGGAGATCATTGACAAGATCCTCACGTGTAGTTCTGGGATGATTCCTCACTGTTCTCATGATCATTGACACTCCACGAGGTGATATCTTGCATGGTGCACCAGACCTAGGGAGACTGACAGTTGTTTTGTGTTTCTTCCGTTTGCGAATGATTGCACCAACTGTTGTCACCTTCTCACCAAGCTGTTTGGCCATAGTTTGGTAGTCCAGTCCAGCCTTGTGTAGGTCTACAATCTTGTCCCGGACATCCTTGGACAGCTCTTTGGTCTTTGCCATGGTGGAGAGTTTGGAATCTGATTGTTTGATTGCTCCTGTGGACAGGTGTCTTTTATACAGGTAACAAAATTAGATTAGCAGCACTCCCTTTAAGAGACTGCTTCTAATCTCAGCTTGTTACCTGTATGAAAGACACCTGGTAGCCAGAAATCCTGCTGAATGATAGGGGATCAAATACTTATTTCCCTCATGAACATGCAGATCAGTCATCATTTGTTAGACATGCACTTCTGCTGAATTTTTTGTTGCTATTCTGTCTCTCAGTGTTACAATACACCGAACATTCAATTTTTAGACCGATCATTTCTTTGTGAGTGGGCAGACATTCAAAATCAGCAGGGGATCAAATACGCATTCCTTCACTGTGCAGTTACGTATGAACACCAGCAGCTCACCCAACTTTAGGTTTACCAAAACTATGTAATACGAGGACCAGCCTAAACGAACCAATTAATGTGTATCCGGTCAGGAAGGCCCCGGCATTACATATTTATTGGTAGATCTAAAAGGAAATTGTACCATCAGGTTGTGGTGAGCCATAAGGGACAGAACAACGGAAAACCAGAGACACTCGGAACTCACTGTTTAGCTTGATTGACGTGGACCCCCAGAGTGTGGCTCAGCCACTTATATGTCACCTAGAAAACAGCCAATGATCAGAATTAGAAATCAAAACCCACTAAGATTCTAAATTGAAAATAGGAGCAAAGCAGGAAGAAACCCTGAAAATAGGTCAGCCTGGGCAGGTAAAGTAAGGGCAATGGGGGAGGGGCAGATGGAGTGCATTGTAAAGTAAAATTATTAAAACAGATTGGGGAGAGGACTAATGCCAGGTATGAGGATGATGACAGAGGATATAAATGGATCTATTGTACATCGGTGAGAGAGATCCTTCAAGCTAAGGTTTATTCTTACATGTTGCCGACCCTGGCTCCTCCCTCCTGGCTCCTCCCTTCGCCCTCATCAACATGATACTGACATTTTATAATAAAAAACTGCATTCATCGCAAGCGCTTATGGGAGCGTCAACTTCCGTGAGCTTCTCACAATGTTCATTAGAGGTTGACGTTATTTAGATAGAGCTCGCCTCATTTCCTGTCTGGACGACATCCAGCTTCCTCTAGCTCTTTCCTCCCTTTCCCTGGCCTGTCCCTTCCATTCATTTGATTTTAGTTCTTCCAATCATGGTGGTTCAGCATCATGTATGTGTTACCTAGGATTGCCTGCATGCAAATACAACCAGTCTAGAACAACCAGGAGGAGAGGACAGGACGACTCTAGGGTCGGGAGAGGAGGGGGCAGGACGGGACGAGACGAGTCCGGGGTCGGGAGAGGGCGGGGCGGGTCGAGTCCGGGGGCGGGTCGAGTCCGGGGTCGGGAGAGGACGGGACGGGTCGAGTCCGGGGTCGGGAGAGGACGGGACGGGTCGAGTCCGGGGTCGGGAGAGGACGGGACGGGTCGAGTCCGGGGTCGGGAGAGGACGGGACGGGTCGAGTCCGGGGTCGGGAGAGGACGGGACGGGTCGAGTCCGGGGGTCGGGAGAGGACGGGACGGGACGAGTCCGGGGTCGGGAGAGGAGAGGACGGGACGGGTCGAGTCCGGGGTCGGGAGAGGACGGGACGGGTCGAGTCCGGGGTCGGGAGAGGACGGGACGGGTCGAGTCCGGGGTCGGGAGAGGACGGGACGGGATGAGTCCGGGGTCGGGAGAGGACGGGACGAGTCGAGTCCGGGGTCGGGAGAGACGGGACGGGACGAGTCGAGTCCGGGGTCGGTCCGGGTTCGAGGACGGGACGAGTCGAGTCCGGGGTCGGGAGAGGACGGGACGAGTCGAGTCCGGGGTCGGGAGAGTCCGACGGGACGGAGGGACGAGTCGAGTCCGGGGTCGGGAGAGGACGGGACGAGTCGAGTCCGGGGGGTCGGGAGAGGACGGGACGAGTCGAGTCCGGGGTCGGGAGAGGACGGGACGAGTCGAGTCCGGGGTCGGGAGAGGACGGGTCGAGTCCGGGGTCGGGAGAGGACGGGTCGAGTCCGGGGTCGGGAGAGGACGGGTCGAGTCCGGGGTCGGGAGAGGACGGGTCGAGTCCGGGGTCGGGAAGAGACGGACGGGTCGAGTCCGGGGTCGGGAAGAGGACGGGTCGAGTCCGGGGTCGGGAAGAGGACGGGTCGAGTCCGGGGTCGGGAAGAGGACGGGTCGAGTCCGGGGTCGGGAAGAGGACAGGACGGGTCGAGTCCGGGGCTCGGGAGAGGAGGGGACGAGTCCGGGGCTCGGGAGGGGAGGGGACGAGTCCGGGGCTCGGGAGGGGAGGGGACGAGTCCGGGGCTCGGGAGGGGAGGGGACGAGTCCGGGGCTCGGGAGGGGAGGGGACGAGTCCGGGGCTCGGGAGGGGAGGGGGGACGAGTCCGGGGCTCGGGAGGGGACGAGTCCGGGGCTCGGGAGGGGAGGGGACGATTCCGGGGCTCGGGAGGGGAGGGGACGAGTCCGGGGCTCGGGAGGGGAGGGGGGGACGAGTCCGGGGCTCGGGAGGGGAGGGGACGAGTCCGGGGCTCGGGAGGGGAGGGGACGAGTCCGGGGCTCGGGAGGGGACGGGACGAGTCCGGGGCTCGGGAGGGGACGGGACGAGTCCGGGGCTCGGGAGGGGACGGGACGAGTCCGGGGCTCGGGAGGGGACGGGACGAGTCCGGGGCTCGGGAGGGGACGGGACGAGTCCGGGGCTCGGGAGGGGACGGGACGAGTCCGGGGCTCGGGAGGGGAGGGGACGGGACGAGTCCGGGGCTCGGGAGGGGACGGGGGGTCGGGACGAGTCCGGGGCTCGGGAGGGGACGGGACGAGTCCGGGGCTCGGGAGGGGGACGGGACGAGTCCGGGGCTCGGGAGGGGACGGGACGAGTCCGGGGCTCGGGAGGGGACGGGACGAGTCCGGGGCTCGGGAGGGGACGGGACGAGTCCGGGGCTCGGGAGGGGACGAGTCCGGGGCTCGGGAGGGGACGAGTCCGGGGTCGGGGAGGGGACGGGACGAGTCCGGGGTCGGGGAGGGGACGGGACGAGTCCGGGGACGGGGAAGGGACGGGGTCGGGGAGTGGACGAGTCCGGGGTCGGTGAGGGGACGGGACGAGTCCGGGGTCGGTGAGGGGACGGGACGAGTCCGGGGTCGGTGAGGGGACGGGACGAGTCCGGGGTTGGGGAGGGGACGAGTCCGGGGAGACGACAAAGAAAGGGACAGGACGGCCCCGGGGCTGAGAGAGGACTCCAGAGAGAGGGTCAATGAGAGGTATCCAGGATCCCGGTTGTTAGGGTGATGGGGAGGGAGATATCCGGGGTACTGTTGCTGGGGGTGATGGATGAGGGGTCCATCCTAGTTAACAGTGTTATGAAGTGAGAGGGGTACTAGTGTTGTTAGGTGTGATGGGGGAGGGGGTATCCCAGGTAACGGTGTTGTTGTTTAGAAGGATGAAGGTTCCAGTGTTGGTTGGGGGTGATACGGTATCCTAGATGAGGGTGATGGGGGTATTCAGGGTAATGGTGTTGATAGGAGTGATGGGGGTATTCTAGGTAACTGTGTAGTTAGGGGTGATGGGAGAGAGGTATCCCAGTTACAGGTGTAGTTCGGGTGATGGGGGGAGGGGGTATCCTAGGTAACTGTGTTGTTAGGGGTGATGGTGGGGGGACGTATCCCAGTTACCGCTGTTGTTAGAGGTGATGGGGTATCCTAGGTAACTGTGTTGTTAGAGGTGATGGGGTATCCTAGGTAACTGTGTTGTTAGGGGTGTTGGGGTATCCTAGGTAACTGTGTTGTTAGGGGTGATGGGGTAGCCTAGGTAACTGTGTTGTTAAGGGTGATGGGGTATCCTAGGTAACTGTGTTGTTAAGGGTGATGGGGTATCCTAGGTAACTGTGTTGTTAGGGGTGATGGGGTATCCTAGGTAACTGTGTTGTTAGGGGTGATGGGGTATCCTAGGTAAGTGTTGTTAGGGTATCCTAGGTAACAGTGTTGTTAGGGGTGATGGGGTATCCTAGGTAACAGTGTTGTTAGGGGTGATGGGGTATCCCAGTTACCGGTGTTGTTAGGGGTGATGGGGTATTCTAGGTAACAGTGTTGTTAGGGGTGATGGGGGTATCCTAGGTAACAGTGTTGTTAGGGGTGATGGGGTATCCTAGGTAACAGTGTTGTTAGGGGTGATGGGGTATCCTAGGTACCAGTGTTGTTAGGGGTGATGGGGTATCCTAGGTAACTGTTGTTAGGGGTGATGGGGTATCCTAGGTAACAGTGTTGGTCATGTGTACTGTAGGAGGGAGGGGTCGGGTGTAGGGTTGCCGCTTCATCCATTTATACCCGAACACAATAATTACACAGGCTCTGAGGCCAATTTCTTGCAGATAAGGCACCGAGTGTAACGACCACCATAACCAGCCCCGTCCCCGTGTCACTCATACGTGTTCGGTTATATAGAAATGAGGCGGCATTCCTAGTCAGGTGTCGGCCCTCACTATCTTGTTGTGGTCTGTGACCAGCTCGTCGATGTTGTCCAGGTACATCTCCTCCATGGCGGGGCCAGGGATGACTCCAGATCTCCGTGACAGATTTGGCGCCGCGGAAACCACGCACAGAGCACGGACAACACATGCGCGGAAACCTCCTCTCTGATTGGCTAGGGCGAAGACTCGACAGCTCGTCCGACCAATAAAAAACAGCCCGCCGTGCGACTTTAACGCACGTGCGCGGTGTCTGCTTCTCATTGGCCGGGCGAGCTGTCCTATCGTTCCCCTGAGCCAATCACCGTGTACACCTCCGTCCTGCGGGAAGTGGTTAACCCCTTTGTTGCCGGATGCTGTCAGTCACGTGGTGAGGATAGTCCGGGCTCTGCATCATCTGCTCCTTGTCCCTGTTCAGGGGGGAAGCTGATATAAATGGGGAGTCCGGTATATGTATGAGCTGGAAGGCTCTGAGCACACCTGTACAGGTGGAAGCCTGCTTTATGTGCAGTAAGGGCGGATGTATTTCCCTTTTAACCACTTACTCTCAAGAGGATTCCCCCTCCTTCCTGACCAGGACATTTTTTGCATTTCAGCGCTGCGTTCCTTTAACGGACCATTGCACGGTCATGCAACGCTGCACCCAAATGAAATTTACATCCTTTTCCCCCACAAATAGAGATTTCTTTCGGTGGTATTTGATCGCCTGTGCAGTTTTTACATTTTGCGCAGTAAAAAAAAAAGACTGACAATTTTGAGAAAAAAAAAAATATTTGTGACCTTTCGCTATTAAACATGTCCAGTAAAAAATTTTAAAAATCAAATTTCCTCACAAACTTAGGGCAAAATGTATTCTGCTCCGTGTCTTTGCTGAAAAAAATCCCAATATGTGTAAATTAATTGGTTTATGTGAAAGTTATAGCGTCTACAAATGGCGGTATACATATTGGATTTTTTAAAAAAAATTTTTTTTACTAGCAATAGCAGCGATCAGCGACTTATAGCGGGACTGTAGTGGGCATTCTGACACTGGGAGGGGGGGGGGGGGTGACTTTGGGTCACTGACATCCCCAGTGATACCAATACAGTGATAAGTACTAATAAAAAGCACTGACACTGTACTAATGGCACTGGGGAGGAAGGGGTTAACATGTGGGGTGATCAAAGGGTTAACTGTGTGCTGTTTTACTATTATTTAGTTCAGGTACTTATATAGCGCCATCAATTTACGCAGCGCTTTACATATATATTGTACATTCACATCTTGCTTACTAATCTGCATGTGATCACTGATTGGCCAATGAGTGATCACATGATCGGGACCTCGCACAGAGGTCCCGTCCGATGATTGGTGTTCCACTGTGTCCGGAGGACACAGCAGGCACCAGACTGCAGTGCTGCGCGCTCCCAAGGAGCGCGCACAGCTAGAAAATGCGGCTGCCGTTTATGAACGGCAACCCGCCCCTGGAGTGTCACCGTCCGGCCGTTTATAAACGAGGCGGACGGCAAGTGGTTAAATCTGCCTAGCAACAAGAATAAAAATAAAACTGCGTCAAAAATGCAAGTGCAAAAACACAAATGCAGAAACTGCTGAAATGCAACCTGCATAGGTGTGAACCTCGCCTTAGAGCAGTGGTTCTCAACCTGTGGGTCGTGACCCCTTTGGGGGTCGAACGACCCTTTCACAGGGGTCCCCTAAGACCATCAGAAAACACATATTTCCGATGTGTAAAGAGCAGCTACTGTGTAGAAAGCAGCTGCTGTGTTGAAAGCAGCTACTCTGTTAAAAAGCAGCAGTATTGGAGGTAAAACGACACTCATGAATTATAATTACTGGGTAAATAATTTTATGGTTGGGGGTCACCACAACATGAGGAACTGTATTAAAGGGTCGCAGCATTAGGAGGTTGAGAATCACTGCCTTAGAGCATGGAATGGAGCTGTCCTGGCTAGACTCAGGAAGGACACTGGACACAAAGGGGTTTATTTACTAAAGCTGGAGAGTCCAAAATCAGACTCCCTTCTGCATAGAAACCAATCAGCTTCTAACCTCAGCTTGTTCAATGAACCTTTGGCAATGAAACCTGGAAGCTGATTGGTTTCTATGCAGAAGGGAGTCTGATTTTGCACTCTCCAGCTTTAGTAAATAAACCCCAAAGGCTCAACCAGTAAAGTGAGCACCACATTTTAGGGGGTGTTTATTGGGGGAGGAAATAAAGATGGTTGGAGACCGCTGTGCTTTAGGAGAACCAGGCACAGCTGAATAAATGCAAGAATCTGAATTTTTTTTTTTTTTTTTGGGGGGGGGGGGGTTATAATTGTGAAGGATATTTATTTTTTTTTTTTCAATTCAGCTTTTATTTTGATTGTGACTCATCAGCTGCACCATCCAAGAGGAGGGACCGGAGGTGTGAGGGCTGATCTCAGATCTCACACACAGTCTCCCAACTTCTGAGTTTGCTTAACAGCATCGAATAACAGAGCCCTTTAGTTACATAGAAATGTGATGGTAGAAAAAGACCGAGTGGCCCATCGAGTCTGCCCTTTTTTTTGTGTTTTTCTTTTTTTTGGGGTGGGGGGTTGTTGACTTTTTTTTTGTCTGGGTATAGCTCTATGATTGTCTCAAGCATGTTGGAAGCTATTTACTGTTCACTGACTCACTACCTCTGCTGGAAGTTTATTACAAGCATCCACTACTCCTTCAGTAAAATAGTACTTTCTGGGATTAGATTTGAACTTCCCTCCAGTTAGTTTAGGGTCCTGTCCTCGTGTTCTTGATTTTGGTTTCATGTTGAAAATCCTGCCCTCCTGAACCTTATTCACCCTCTTGATGTATTTAAAGGTTTCAGTCATGTCTCCCCTTTCCCTTCTTTCCTCCAGACTGGACATGATAAGTTCCTGAAGTCTCTCTTGATATGTTTTATCCCCCCGATCTTTCACCATTTTTGTTCCCCGTCTCTGGACTTGTTCTATCTTATCAATATCTTTTTGTGAGATCTCCAGAACTGGACACAGTATTCTAAATGAGGTCTAACTACAGATATATATGAGGGATCAGGACCTCCTTCCTCCAGCCGGTGACCCCTCTAGCGATATAAAGATCTATATAGAGGGATCAGGACCTCCTTCCTCCTGCTGGTGACAGCCTAGTGATATAAAGATCTATATAGAGGGATCAGGACCTCCTTCCTCCTGCCGGTGACCCCTCTAGTGATATAAAGATCTATATAGAGGGATCAGGACCTCCTTCCTGCTGGTGACCCCTCTAGTGATATATAAGATCTATATAGAGGGATCAGGACCTCCTTCCTCCTGCTGGTGACCCCTCTAGTGATATAAAGATCTATGTAGAGGAATCAGGACCTCCTTCCTCCTGCTGGTGACCCCTCTAGTGATATAAGATCTATATAGAGGGATCAGGACCTCCTTCCTCCTGCCGGTGACCCCTCTAGTGATATAAGCTCTATATAGAGGAATCAGGACCTCCTTCCTCCTGCCGGTGACCCCTCTAGTGATATAAAGATCTATATAGAGGAATCAGGTCCTCCTGCCGGTGACTCCTCTAGTGATATAAAGATCTATAAAGAGGAATCAGGACCTCCTTCCTCCTCTGCCGGTGACCCCTCTAGTGATACAAAGATCTATATAGAGGGATCAGGACCTCCTTCCTCCTGCCCCTCTAGGTGATCCCTCTCTAGTGATATAAAGATCTATATAGAGGAATCAGGACCTCCTTCCTCCTACTGGTGATCCCTCTAGTGATATAAAGATCGATATAGAGGGATCAGGACCTCCTTCCTCCTGCCGGTGACCCCTCTAGTGATATAAAGATCTATATAGAAGAATCAGGACCTCCTTCCTCCGGCTGGTAGCTCCTCTACTGATGCATCCTAGAATTCTATTCACTTTCCCCACTGCCTGACCACACTGTTTGCTCATTTAGCAATCATCTGAAATAAGTACCCCCAAGTCCTTTTCCTCTGAAGTGCTGGCCAACACAGTACCCCCAATGTTGTCCTCTCATGTAGTTGATTAATTTCTTTTAGCTACAGCCCTCTGTTCTTTGATACTGCAAAACACTCAGGAGTTGGGAGACAGCAACTGGTAGTTTGGGCTAGACAGCATCTGATTGGTCAGCTGCTGACCAATCAGATGCCGTCTAGCCTGAACTGTCATCACTGCAAGGAGAGGAAAGAAAGCAGTGGGGATTTCAAATCCTACCAATTTCTCTCCTCTCCTACCACTGGCAGTAGCACTGCATGGGATCGGTGCAGGGAGGTTACCCGCATCACTCCTGTGTGAACTCGAGGTATGACAAGCCTGGGCTCACACAGGAGCAGAGGGGAAACCGCATGCGATTTGGACAGGAATCTTATTCCTGTTTACATCGCATGCTAATCTTTGTGGTGCAATTTGCATCTATTAGCACAAATTGCACGGCAAAGCATCAGTTAAGGTATTGGTAGTATTTTCACGAGTGCTCGTGTATCGGTACAATTCCTACAATATTCCATATTAGTTCCACTGTGCTTCTCTAAGGCCCTGGTGCCCGACCTGCAGCCTGAGGGCCACCATGCACATGGTTAGTGATGGACCGAACAACTGCCTGTTCAGTTCACGGTCAAACATTTGAACCTAACGAACATTCAACCACAAACTTCAAACTCAATGCAAGTCTCTGAGACTCGAACTTGTAAATTCAAAAGTGCCCATTTTGAAGGCTTTTATGCAATTTATTGGTCATAAAACAGGTATGGGAACTCAGGGACGGCCCTGAGGGACGTGAATCAGTGAAAATTTTTTTTCTAAAAAAGTACCTTTTTAAAGCAGTCATTTTTCATCACTTAAAGTGAAAAAAAAAATTCCTTTAAATACCATGCCTGGAGGGATCCCATTAAACTACCTGGAAATTTGCACATCTGTACAATGTATAATAAAAAAAAAGAAAAAACCCCAATAAAACAGCATGGGTTCCCCCCAATCCTTACCAGACCCTTTAGGTCTGGTAGGAAGATTAGGAGGGACCCCACAGTAACAATTAAAAAAAAAAAAAAGTGCGTGGGGCTTTTTAA